GCATGAGGTAATTTCCCTTTTAACGCAGAACATTTTAGAGATGCTTCAGCAATTAATCAATATCTCAATCTGCAGTCCATTACGGGGCTTGGCGCCGTGTCGTAACAAATGGGAGCCTGCCCGCGCTCGCTGGGTTGAATCCCCGGGCCGCGACGACGGCGCGTGATAACGTGCTCCTCCCTGTCTGCTCGAGACGAGGGCCGTCGCCTTCCCATTTATGGAAGATGCTCCTCCAGTTAAAATGACGAGGGGGCAAGGAATTCGCTTTTGCTTTCCCTATCGCGCGCTCCGCAAGCCGGGAGCGAGGGGCAGGGGAATCTCTGCGGAGGCAGCCAAGGGTTACGACACGCTTTTGGCCTCGGAGCGGATTAACTGATTTGCCCCTCATTTTTTAGGAGGAGAGAGGCAAAGCACACAAATCTTCATGTTTCCCATCCCCTCCGTGTTCTGGGTAACCAGAGCCTGCTTCCCTATGGGCTTGTTTAGGACAGCGAGATGAGCGACTCCCAGCTGTCCTCTTGGATAATCCAGGTCTTCTCTGGACGTGGAGAGGGAATCAGCTGCTCAATTTGCTTCAGGGGTTATTGGCGACCGGTGTCACAGGAGTGTAAGGGCGGTAGTCACTTAATCAGCATTAATAGGGGAATTATTATCTTAATAAAGTGCCTGATTGTGACCCTGAAGTCGTAGCTGAGGTTTACCAGCTGCAGAAGCCCGGCTGGGTTGTATATTTGTTAATCCTCAAGGAGGGTGTTCTGTTTCACTGAGTGAAGTTTATTTAACGTGCAATAAGTGTCTTAGTGAATCTCTATTAAAGGCATATGTGGAAACCTTAATTTGAAGCGTTGCGGAAGAGTGAGGCTGTTCAATTCATAAAAAAAAAAAAAAAAATCCTGTTTAAACAGTGTGAGCTCCAAAACCCGTCCGGTGCCAAAGCAAACTGTATCCTGGAAGCCTCGTGCCAGATGTCTCATGTGGGGTATACGCAAAGTCCAAAGAAAATAAGGTTGAAGGGAACAGTTTGGCCATTGAATCGCCAACCCAGCCTATATAAAGGGGTTTCGTTTCCATGCAGGAAATACCCTTGGAATGGGGTCCGTGAAGGAGTCACTGTTTGCTGAACAATTCTGCCCGGCAGCAGCACTGATTCTTGGTAACACCTACACTCGTGAGCAGAAATTGGCTCTGGTGGAAGGAGAAATAGTCTAAATCTCTCTAAATTGCTAAGCAAGAGGAACCAGTGAATCAGTTAGAGCAGTTTCTGGGTATTTTAGGTGGCCCTGGCAAGTGTCTAACCTAGTATTAGGCAGCCGAGCTGTCCTGATGGGTCCCGTGATTCCGGGTAATCCACTGCAGGGTGCTCCAGGGTGTTGGGAATTTAACCTTTGGGAGACCACGATGTCCCTGGAGATGCTGCCTTCGCTCTGAACCTGACCTGCTGCTCTTTGAATGCCTCTCTGCAGCCTCGTGCAGGTAGATGCGTGTTCGGAGCCGCTTGGCACCAACCAGGCTCTCTGCAGCAGCAGAAAGCAGGAAGCTTCAACACTAACTTGGCACCGAGTTCGTGCAGCCACAGAACTTCCAGCTGGCTCAGGTAAAACACATGTATAGACACGACGCGGGTGTATCCTGAGCCCCTCAGCCACTCTTCCCAGGTGCCAGTAATCCCGGGGCAAACGCCTGTGACGGGACAGGAGTCGTAGTGGTCACGACCCAGCCGCTCCACGATACCAGCAATCCCGCTGCTCTTGGATAGCAGTTTCCCTTCCCTTGCCTGTCATGTCCTCGGGGCGGCCGGCCAGGCAGGCCCAGGGGCACGATCGGAACGTGGGATACATATTCCGAGTGGCTTCATCTCTAGGAACAAGAGCGGGAGGGAGTGAGTTCATCTCCTCCACGCTCCTGGCCGTGGCAGGGTTATTCCTCCGTTCCCGGCGTGCTGTAGGGATTCATCCGAGTCCCTGATGGGCAGCTGAGACTTTCCTTTTTCCCCCCTCATCCCATGACTCTCAGGGAATATCCAGCCCCTTGTATTGTCCAAAATAATTCCACCGTGCTGGGGATTAGGCAGTTTCGGTATCCGTGGGCAGCCCGTTTCCTTTCCTGCACTGGAGTTGCCTTCTGCCAGCTTGGGGCCTCCAGCTCTTAATGATTTCTCTTGTTTTTTCCTTGGAACAACAGATTATTACAGGTCCTGGTAAGAATATCCGTAAAGTGAGGGACATCTCCGCTCCTTCCCTGCTTCTGCGACCAGGGCCGGAGCTGTGCAACCTGCCGCCCCTCTGGCAACAGAGCCCAAATAAAGCAGGTCCCCAAGCCAAAGGTGGGTCTTAATGTGCCCTTAAAACCACCCGCAGGTTTCTTAGTCCCACCAATTTCTCTGGAGATGGGGAGATGAGCAGGTGATTGCAGGGCTATTGAGATGTAAAAGGCAGCTAAGAGATGATGCCAACGCAATGGGACCTCACAGAGAGCCCGAAGATGTGGCCAGAAGTAGCCAGCTTGTGCTGGGGGATTCTACACCTGGGGGGAAACACTTTGAATTCAAAACGCAGGGGGAAAAACGCTCTTCTTGCAAGCTGGGGAGGGGAAGAAATTACCACATGAATAACCTGCAATAGGGCTTGCCCACTTAGGAAATCTTCTGGTCTCTTCCTCTTATTGTGTGGAAAAAAAGAGGTTAAAACTCTGTTGTAACAGTAAAAATTGAAGTTGCCCAAGCAGAGGTGGGGAGGAATTGGTGTGAGCTTGGTGCTCTGGGTTGGAGCAAGTCATTTGAAAGCCACTTGGTGAAAGGTGGCTTGATGGCCTGGCTCATCCAAGATGTTGGGATTGCTACAGTTCTGCTGCAGAAACGTGGGGAAAAAAATTGGAAGGAAGATTCTCATTTCTGATGGAAATGTTTTTAGCTTCGCTCGCTCTCCTCTATCTGTTCCAGCTCAGACAACTCTTCTATTCTGCGCTGTGCTTGCCCAGGGCGATTGTATATGACTGTTTAAACCGTGTTTAAACAGCCATAAGCCTGTTTATTTACTGAGGCTATAAATTATCTCCAAATCAGAATTCAGCACGCTGCAAATGCCTTGTTTCAACAGGCAGGCTGGCTCCCTGCTAGAACTGCAGCCGCCGGCGACCTCCCCGCTGCCTCGCGAGTGACGACCCGGACTCGCGTGGGTCTTCGTGGAGAACTTGTCTGGATGAGGAATGACAGCCAAAGCACCGTTCTGTGATCCTGGGAGTGCTCCCTTGGCTGTTTTTCGTTTCTGAGGCCTCGGTAGGTAACTAAAAACTCACCTGAAGACACTTTCAGGTGGCACTTCCAGGGTGCAAAGTGTCATTTTGTTGTTGGCCGGTTTCTGTCCCAAATAGCTGAGGGTTTAACGGGTCAGGCTGCAGCCCCACCAGGGCCGTTGTCCTGCACTCACTGGAGATGGGAAAGATCTGAGGCCATCCAGCCTCTCCGTTTCCCCGCTATGGGGGAAGGCTTGTTACCTACACTGGATTTTCCTGAACACGGTCCAGTTTTAAGTGACTCAAGCGGCAGGGCCTTCTCTTGGGAGGCCTGGCCTCTTTCTTGCCATGAGAGATGTTTTCCTAGCCCTCCACCTGATCGCTCCAGCCCTGCCTTGGAACAGCGGCCAGCACAAAATGTACAGGGTGGGTAACTTTCATCAAAGGGCTGCTTAACTCTTCTTGTGCCATTTCAGTGCACATCCCGCTTTTAACGATGAAAAAGATGATGTGGAGGGGGAAAAATATATATATTTTTTGATAGTAGGCATCCAGGGCAGTGAAAGCCTCCCTAGGTGTTGCAGCTCACTTGTTGATCCAATTCTTTCTCTGCCGTCTTTCTTTCCAGCTCCTTGGAAGCTGTGTTGATTAAAGGAAGTGTTGCAGCAAAGTCGAGAGCTTTATTGACAGGAAAGTGCTGATGAGGTGGATTAGCAGTGAGTAATGAGCAATTATTTCAATAAAGAGGCCTGGTAGAAATGCTAAGGAAAACTGGAGCATCTTAAGGCATCAGCAAACAAGTGCAACTTCACTTGTGTTTGAACACAGCAGAAGTTAGCACTGTTGTAGGGCCCTTGCTGAGATGGCAAAGGTTGCTTGGACCCTTCAAAATCCCTTTATTGGCCCTGGAAATTCATCTCGCAGATTAACAAGCGTCACCAGGGTAGGGAACGTGGATCTCAGGAGCCGTGGTCCCTCGGGGAGTTCAGGAAGGGTTTTATTCTATGGAATGGAGCTCTGGAAGGGGCAACCACTGAAATATCAGGCTAACTGGTGAACTGAGGTGGGGCTAATTGTGATTTTTCATTTGGGCTTTCGTATGCCCAGCACCCTTAGTCAAGACGTTTAGTTTTTCCTTCACTAGCTGAGGGTTTTCCCAGGGATCTGCTCCTCCTGCCTGTGCTGCCCGTGAACTCCAGACCAGGACGCAGTGGCTCTGGATTGAGCTTCCCATTGCCACCGGATGTTCCAGCTCCCTGTTCTCGGATCCCGCTGTTTGTGGTGGCTTCTGGGCGGGCGAGACGGTGCCCCAGGGATCACGTTGGGCTTCTCCGTCTCATTACTTTTCTCACAGCTTCTAGGACGACCAGTACCAGGAGACACCAATGCCAGACCCTCTAGCACTTTGCATGTGGAGGGAAAACAGGTTGGGAACAGCTAGTTGAACTGGGGGTGAAATCCAGTGGGATTTTCCTCTTGGGCCTTAGAACAGAGGGATATGGGCCTTGCCAGGCTGATCCAGAGCCACTTTTCCCCAAAAATTCCTCCTGTGGCCACCTTGTGGGCACGTAAGGTGTGTGACAGCCCAGCTCGGGCGCTGCCCGCGCTCGTTTCCCTTCCCTGCCCGCTCCTCCTTGCTCTTCCCGCCTGTTCCTCTTGGCTCCTTCCCCTGGGAAGGGAGGTCCCAGGGCTGCCCGATGCAGACCTGCCCCTTCCCGGCTTCCCGGGGAGGCTTCGGGAGCCCCTCGTGCCTTGGCTAAGAGGGACATCTAGCGGGATCTGAGCCGATCCCAGATGTTCTCCCGGCGGAGGGAGAAGCGGAGCGGCGTTGCCTCCGGAAGGTGAGGCCACCCCAGCGTTGTCACATCCACAGGGAGAGCGGCGGAGGCGGCTGGGTGCCCTCGGAGAGGGAGGAGAGCAAGAAGAACACGGAGCTTTGGCAAAAGGGTGAGCTGTTCCGGGTGGGAAATCCTGTTAAGTCACTTGGCAAAAGAGAAGGGGGAAAGAGGGTTTTTCCAGTCATTTTTGCGCAGGAAGGATCAGCCAAAATCTCCCTCCTGCATTTGGCGTCTTGAACTTGGGGAGAAGGAAATGGGACCATCTTATTCCCCCAAATGATTCCAGGCAGGTGATGAGGTGGGATGAGGGGGGAAACACCCCTTTTTGCAAGGATCCTTAGGGAATATGGATCACCCCATTCTCAGCATGCGGATGGGCTGGGGCTTGCATGCCTTGGGATGAGCTGGTTTCCTCCCCTCCTCTTCTGCTGCCGCCTTGTGCTGTTCCTTGGGACACTGCTCTCCCTGCTGGCAACAGAGTTATCCTGAATAAACCACTTGTTGGGAACAAGCGGCCCCGGCTTCTCGGCACACAGGAGGTGGCCTCCTCACTCCCCATGGCAGGTTCTTCCGGGGAACCTGTCCCAGAACCCGCCTGGAGGGACTTTTGTTTTGTTTTCTTCTTCTTTATTTATTTTTGTTGCTTTGGGCTTTCTATTTATTTGCTTGCTTGTGGTGAGTGTGTTGCTGTGCTTGTTTTGCTGCTCCGTGTGGGGTTTTTGCTTTGTTTGGGGTTGTGGTTTGCATTAATTCGTGTTGTTTCCCCCTCCCCAGGGTCTGTTTGCCTGCACTCGAAGGGAAGCAGCAACATGGGAAGAAAACCAGCTCCATGTGGCGACCTGCAGCAACACCTGCACATCCCACACGAGCTCTGGGTGTGTAGGCAGTGACACCTGCACATTTCCAGCTGGGAAGTGGCCTTGAGACTCTCCTGCTGTTGGAGAGGGGCAGCACCCATCTCCTTGCACATCCAGCTCAAGACCAGGGTGAAAAATACCCTCCTGGAGCTGGAAATTCCCTACCTAGGAAAATGCCTGAGGCTGCTGTTTTGGGCAGCCAAGGCAGCGCCCTGGGGCTTGGGAACTGGATGCATCTCCCTTCCCGGTGCCACCACAGATCCATGCAGGTTTCCCCTCCTTTCCAGCAAGCCCCCGAAGAACCACACGAGCAGCACGTTAGAAAATATCCCAGTTTAATAGACTCAGAGCATCTCCCTTTCACAGAGGGTTTTACAAAAGAGTGTATTTACAGGGGAGGAGGCGGCTACAGAGGAGAGAGAGGATCCACACGGCACATTCGGATGTCCCAAGGCTCCAACCTCTTACAAAACTAAGAAGGGCCCAAAGACTGCGGCTCCGCGCGGGTCCCGGCTCCGTCGTTCCTACCCACAGCGTTAAGGCACCTTGTGGCACTGCCCCGCACTGGGGACAGAATCCAGGCCCTACTTGTCCCCTGAGGTGAGTGACACCCATTTCAGCCAGCGCCGTCCCCTCTGCTCCAACGGGAACTGAGGGGACCACGGGACAGAGGAGGCAGCGGCAGCAGAGGGAGGGAGGTGGGAGATTCCAGGATAAAAAATCCCTCCTATTACTCAAGGCCAGGAAAGGGGTGCGGACGGCTGTTCGGAAACAGACACAGTAGCCAGAATACATCCAAAAAAAGCTGGTTTTGAACCCGTCCCAAGAAGGTTGCCTCTAAAAACACAAAGTGTTTTTTCTTTTTTCTTTTTTTTTATAATTTGGTGTTTTATTATTATTATTATTATTATTTCCTATCTCACCGTAACTCAAATGGCCGCTCGCTCCAGCTCTTCCCAGGGAGCTGCTCTAACTTACCCGCACTGGGAAACTCCCCATCCGGACGCGGTTTCGGGGCGGCCGAGGGCTGCCCTCAACCCTCGGCGCGGCGCTGTCCGCGCAACACCCCGTCAACGGAGCCCGGCGGCCCCGCCGCGAGGAACACCCGGAGCTACAGGCGCCTGAGGTAGAGGGAGGGTTGCAGTCGCCGGCGGC